TTACCAAAATCCATGCCTCTTGTGCCATTTCAGAAGTTTTGTGGTATCCAGTGTAGCCATAATGGACTGGTAAATACAGTCCAGAAAATGTACACCATTCTGCAGCAGAAACTAGAAGCCATGTTGAAGTATTTCACTGTACCACTGAACATTAAAATGCATGAAGATGAATTCGTTAAAAACCTAGGGAATTACATCATAGTGTTAAATAGGCAGCAAGGTGAGTCTTCAGGTGATAAGTCCAGGGTTCTGTGTGTGTGGCACTCAAAATGATGCCTTTAGGCATTTAAGTAGTGTCAAAGTCTGAGAGATGAGACAGCAAGGGATGCTGGCCCTTTTCTACTGTCTAATTGTGGAGCTAACTGAAGTAGAAATTAAGCAGAGTATGACTATCTAAATCCTTTGTAGATCCCTTTGAAGTTGCTTGACTTTCAGAGTGTTGAATGTTCTTCACTTCCCAAAATCAGGGACCAATATTGGTATTTTTGCTTTGTTTTTTAAACATGGCTGGAGGGCTTGATTTTTATGGGTGCTGAATAGTATTAATTAATGTCTGTAGTTTGGCACCTGGCAACTGCAGAACTCAAAATTGTATGCTGTTTTTGAAAATGTGAAACTGTCTTTCAGCCCCAGGGAAGCATTCTACAGAGATGGAAAAGGGCTATTTCCCCAGCTTCCCCTCATAGATATAAATCTCTGAGTATTATTTTTAAGTGTTTTCTGACTTTGGGGAGGGGATTTGGGGTGGGGAGGAATTGGGTGGACACTTGTTTAAAATAACATGTGGCTTTTTTCCTTTCTTAAAAGGAAAGGGTTATGTTTTCTTTACACATAGGCATGGGAATCTGAGAAACAACAACAATTCATTTGCAGGTGTGGGGGCCACCTTTTCCAGGCCTATATGTCTGTTCAGAGATTCTCTGCTTTGGGAAGTGTAAAATCTTTGTCACTTAGCAACCACACTCCCTCTTCTTGGAGTAGCAGGAGGATGCCCTGCACATGCATGTGCACCAGTAATCTGGTTTTCAGACCACAGACAGTCCTGTTGTGATACAGTCAGCCAGATAACATACTGTGATATTTTCCAGATGATCAATCTATTTTGATTCAGTGCAGGCAAAATCTCATTCAGCTCCTTTTAATGTTCTGTCTCTGAGCTGGAAGTGTTTGAGATCATTGTTTGCTGGCAAAAGGAAAGAAATATTACCTGGGCAGTGAGTTCCTAGCCTAGGTTTGTACTGAAGAGCCCATTGCAAACTGTGTGAAGTATACAGAATGCTGCCTTAGAACAGAGAGAAATGTGAAGAACTTACAGCCTCAGAAATGAAGAGTCATTACTGTTTTGCAAAATAGAAATACCATCACTTAACTGGTTAAGAAACACACAGGGTTCACACGATTTTCCCTCTGGAGATTTGTCAGAAGTGCAATGATTCAGCAGTGGGCTGGTTATGTATCCTTGTGCTTGTAGTACCTACAGGGGTGCATGTTCGTCATCCAGTGCTGATGGCTCTGAAATGTACACTAGATGGTGCTTGCACAACGTAGGCAGAAAACGTGTGTCTGTCTCAAGATGTGTCAGCAGTTCAGTGCTCCACCCTCCCCACCAAGTATTTTTCATGACGAACACTCTATTCCATTAAGTGGAGTCCTGTATTAAATACAGAAGGTTCATGTGTGATGTAAAAAAAAATAATTATTTGGTATTTTGCTGATCAAAGCAATAAAGACATAAAATTACTACTTTTCATATCTGTAGATATGTTTATTCATGCTTCTGTGTATACGCAGTCTTAGCAGCTCCAAGTTTCTAAAGACAGACTTGCTGTTGTGAAACCTTTTTTATGTTACTTTATTAAAGTGATATACACATACACAAAACTGAGATAAAAATAAAGGCTCTCTACTCTGTGTACAGCACACAACACCACACAAGTCTTAACTGGTATCTAAAAAACCATGAGCTGTCACAAATTTCTGAAAAGGAGGAAAAAAAAGAAATAAAAGGACACATATCTTCCCCATTTCACCAGCATTGTCCCAGAAAAGAAAAAGAAAAGAAGAAAACACTGAATGCTAAAGGGAATTATCTCTGTGAATTATTAAAATAAAGTACATATTATGTAAAAGATTTTTTATATATCCCTGGGACATATGATAAACTAAACAGAAGAAAACTAGATTTTTGTAGTTCTGTGGGGTCTCTAAACAATGTATATTTTTGACAAAGGAAGTCTTAGGGTTTACTCAAAAAAAGGAAAAATAAAAAGATTCAATAATTGCCAACAATAATTCAAGAGTCAACATAATATTTATACTCAGCTTATCCCAGCTCCAGTAGGATAAATGCACTATCCAGATATACTATATATTGATTCTCAGCCCTTTGTTTTTAAAGTCCAGACATAATAATTTACAATAATCAAATAATCCAGTTATACATGTTTAACTCCAAATTTCTTTTAGGATTTTGTTTATTTCAGTCAAGTCTGAAGGTTCATATACTTAAAATGTAGTCTAAAATCAAATGTGATTGCTTTCAGTGTCTGCACATTTTGAGCAAGTCTGGATTTTGGATGGGGAAAGAGAAGTGGATAGCAGGGCTAGGGGAATGAGGATTGCCAGAAAAAATATTAAATAAATTAGCCAAGTTTGCTTGGATTTGTGCCAACATGTGAATCCAAAGATTCCAAATTAAATTGTGCTGCCAAAACATACCAAAAAAGTGCTCTACAGCAGTTTCTAGAGTCTTCTTATGCCCAAATTTATCATACTGCAGGTGTTTGTAAGGGGAACAGTGGTGGCAAGCTATACTCTGCACTTTATTAAAAGAAGTGGGATGTAATGATGATTAGGGTAGTGGGTGCAGCTCTTCCTGCAAGAGTTTTGGAGCTGTATACCGAGACCCAGTTGCTGGAGGTATAGCAGAAGCAGATAAACAAAAACAGTATTAACCAATGGATTCTCAAGACCCGGGATATGCCAGGCACTTCATTCAGCTGTGTTTTTACACCAGTTTGACATGTTGACTTAAAGGGAGGCCAACAGTACTAAGCTGGGAGGAGCTGCTGACTCCCTCGAGGGCAGAGAGGCCCTGAAGAGAGACCTTAACAAATGACAGAGATGGGAAATCACCAACTGTATGAAGTTCAGCGAGGGAAAATGGCAGATTTTGCATACACCTCTGATAGAGCAACCCTGGGTGTCTGGAGAGAGTAGGGGATGAGATCCTGGAAAGCTGTGCCATGGAAAGGGACCTGGGGGTCCTGGTCAAAGGCAAGTGGAACTTGAGTCAGCAGTGCCCTGGCAGCCAGGGGGGACATCCCTGTCCTGGGGACATCAGGCACAGCATCAGCAGCTGGGCAAGGGAGGGATTGTCCCACTCTGCTCTGGGCTGGGCCGGCCTCACCTTGAATACTGTGAGCAGTTTTGGGTGCCATGGTAAAGGAAAGAGACAAAGATCTTACAAGGTATCTAAAGGAGGGGTATGAGGATGGTGGAAGATCCAAAGGTGAAACAGTATGAGAAGTGGTTGAGAGCTCTTGGTCTGTTCAGCTGGAAAAGAGAAGGCTGAAGGGGAACATTATCACTGTACACAACCATATATAAACTCTGTATATTTCTCATGAGAAGCAGCAGAGAGTCAGGCACTGATCACTTCTCTATGGTGACCAATGACAGGACATGAGGGAAAAACCTGAAGTTCAGTCATGGAAGTTTATGCTGGATGTTTGCAAAAGGCTCTTCCCCCACATAGCGGCTGGGCACTGCAACAGGCTTCTCAGGACAGCAGTCACAGAACCAAACCTGGCAGAGTTCAAGAAGCATTTTGACAATGCTCTCAAGCACACAGTGGGATTCTTGGTGTGTTCTGTCAGGGCCAGGAGTTTTACTTTGATGATCTTTGCAGGTCCCTTCAAACTCAAGATATTCTATGATTCCATGACCTTCCTAGTTTAATTTTGCTAAAATCCCAGGAGCTTCACTGACTTCACTGAGAAGGAAGAATGTGCTTTGACATGGAGCAAGACATATTAGCTTCCAAGTGGCTAACCATGGAGTAAGGTCATGCCAGACAATGTCTGCATCTGGATTTTGCTATTTAAAGAAGCAACAACACCTGTTTCCCATTTATGCTGAAGAATTAGCTCCATACCTGGCTGCTATACTTCCATTTAAATCCAGGAGGAGTCAGATGCCGGGTGCTGGCTTTTGCAGCTGTGTTTCACAAGGAGTTAGTTTGGTTTATTATACACTGTAGACATTCTAATTACAGGAGCCCTGCTTTCTCATCTTGTTCCCCCCACATTTCTCTGTTCTGCCACACTTTCCCTGTCTCCCCACCACATTCTCAGTTCATACTGGGAGACAAGACATCTAAACCAGTGAAATCTAGAAGTAAAATTGTCTCTTTCCCAGACCTGCAGGAAGATCAAGACGATTTCCAAACTGGAGGCTGAATGTTTATGTGGGGGTGGATGTTGGGAGGAAGCAGGGAGGAGGCACAGGGACAAGTCACATCTGGAGCTTTTGTGACTCAAATTCAGTAAATGTGTCATGTCAGTCATAGGAAAAACTGCATGTGCCGCGCAGCTGGAGCTGAGGTGTCTGGACTCTCTCAGGTTGGCAACTCTTTCATGTTGTTGTTGTAAGATGCACAGCTGATAGTTAATTAAGCAAATGAATAGATCTTACCCTGGCAAAAGAGGCACACTAATGTCTTTCAGAGCGTGCACTGAATCACAGACATTGCCATTTCACTGTCTGTGTCCAATGGAGGGGTGTGTGGGGGAGCTCATAACCTGCAACAAGGCAGTTAAAATAATCGATGAGTACGTATTCAATCCCAAGACAGGGACGGGGAGAGAGGGAGGAGGAGGGTGTAGGAAGGGAGAGAGAGACAGAGAGGAAGGGAGGGAGGGTGTGGTGGCTAGGGACGGGGAGGGGGGGGGGGGGGGGGGGCGGGAAAGGTGCTGATTTCAGCCCTGTAGCGTCAGGATTGCGTCAATTTGGGTTTCAACCACGTACTCAGTCTCAGAGAGGAGCTACTCAGAAGAGTCAAAACAGGAAGGGGGTTGCAAATCAGTGTGCAAAGGGGAGGACCGAAGATTCCCCTCCCCCCTCTCCTCCAGTCCCGTCGTAGCCTCCTCCTCCACTGTCCCCACTGCTCGTGTCTCTGGGTTTTGGGTGGTTTTTGTTGTTGTTTCCTTTTTTCCTCTCTTTGAAATTTTTTTTTTTAACTGCGCTGGTAAAGACGGTTACCTGGCGCCGTGAGAGCGGAGAACCAGGGGACAGCAGGGCAGTGAGCTCGGTGCCCCGGGCGGGTCGCTTGGAATCCGGGGAGGCGGCTCCCGCATCCCGGACAGCGGCTCCAGCACCGCGGACAGCGGCTCCAGCACCGCGGACAGCGGCTCCAGCACCGCGGACGTCGCTCTCCACCAACATGGCTCCGATAGCGGACAGCCGCCAGCAGTTCGGTAAGCGCGTCCCGGCCCCCGGCACCCGATGAGCCGGGAGATGCTCGCCTCCCCGGGAGAAGAGCAGAATCTGCTGAGCCTCCCGGTGCCTCCCAGCAAGCAGCTTGTTGGGAGGGACCTGGTTTTCCCCCCGGCTCTCGTCAGGTCTCAGAAGTTGTGTGAATTTTCTTTCTTTCCCTGATTTCTCTTCCTTAGTCCCTCCCTGTTCCTCTTCCCTGGTAAAGTACCGGAAGAGATAAAGAGATTTTTGTTAGGTGAGGTTTTGGATGAGAGAGATTTGGGGTTGTTTTCTGTGTCTTTGTTAAAGTAATGTGCATGAAGAGTTACATGATGTAAATGCATCTTGTGCCACAGAGAAAATCTTTGTTCAAGGAATTATTAAAATAATTTAAATTCCTTTTATTCTTATTGTAGGTCAATCATTAGTTAAAGTGAAAGGACATTGCTAGGAAGATGAAAATATAGGATTTCAGTGTCTTTAACTGAACAGCTGCATCTTAACCAACTCGGTTTCAATGAGAATAACCAAGATGACAATGAACTTTTCAGTTTTGTCATTTCTATGCCCTGGATGTAGTGAAGTATCAGAAGTTTCAGAAGCAGTCATGTATGTGCAATTATAAAATGCATACATACGTTATTTTAGTGAGAAAAGCAGTAAAAGGGAACATTTCTGAAGTCTGCTTTACAAATATTGACTCTAGCCTACATTACACTTGTTTAGCAGTGGTTCGATTCAAGGATCATTCCACTGACTTAGTGAAGAGACTCCAGATTTATATCACATAATTAGAATAATAACTTCTCCCAGAATCAGTAGGTGATGTTTGCTATAAATGCACTGCCTGGAATGTTAACCAATTGATCATGACAAAAGCAAAAAATTATTTTTGTGACACAACTAGCTGTAAATAGAAAACCATTTTAGTTACCATTTCATCTTCTTTCCTATTCTACCCACTCTAGGTTTCTAACCACACTTGTGACATCATGCTTGTCTAATTACTTATTTAAGAAAGATAATTAATATTTTAAATATAAAATTGATTCTACCATTGCTTTCAGTAGTTGTAGAATTGAAGTAGAACATAATATCCATTACTATAAAAAGTCTGCTATCTCATGAGAAAGTATTGTAAATATACAAACCATTCTTAAAAGATATTAAAGTATTCTGATCAGTTTTGGCTTTTTATTTTATACCATATATATTCAAATTTCTGCAGCCCAGGGAATTCTTGAAACTCAAAACCACATGCTTAAGTTAGGAAAAATACTTTTTGGTTATGTATATGGTTGTCAGTCATTAAGTTCTTGCAATTAAGTATATAGACCAGTACAGCTTGTAGTCATTAGGAAAGTTGTCATAAAAAATTAATAGCCAGGCCTGATCCTATCTGAGCTGGAACATTATGTCCTACTTTGCTCTAATAGTATTGTTGTGGATTTCTTTTTCTGAATCATCGCACTAAAAAGCAAAGGTGTATTGGCAGCTCATTTATCTGCTCAGCTTTTGACTGGATGAAGCTGATTTAGTAATACAGGGACATAGTTCTCCTTTACTCCTCTAGAACGACCAGAGAGAAATAGAAATGTTACATAATTGCCTTTATGCATAAACAATGTCACTACATTAATATTCTAATGTGCCTCTACCGTTGTGGGGAATAAAGGTTAAGCTCTGATTGTTACATTGTGGGAGGTTTAAACTCACTTAGTAATGTTACTTATGGGCAAAATTTGATTTCTAACTAGTTGTGCTCATTTACCCTTTGATACATGCTTTGAAGGGCTAATGATACTCCATATGTAAATAATATATCTACTTGGCAATGGAGGTTGTAACACTTGCTCAGGTTTCTCTTTATTCAGGGTAAGTATAACACTCATATTAAAACTGTAGAGAATTATGTTTCAATTTTTTTTCTTATATACTCCTAAGAAGTACTGACCCTTTCTGTAAGCTCCCCATAAGCTTTGCTTCAGTGTCTTAAATGTAAAGCTTAGTAGTAATCAATTATAAACTTAACAAGATTTCTTCAGCTTTGAGCTTACATGTGCTACCTAATGGCACATCCATCTGGAAAATACACTTGTTATATAATTATTCTAAATTTTCTTGATAGGTTTCTTCCTGCAAAGTATTGAAAATCCCAGTGAAACTGTTGAGTGCTATAACCTCCACTTAAACTCACTTCTTTCAAGAGAAACCTACAGGCCCTACCTATGGGATCAGACTATAAAAAAATAGTAATTGAGATTAAGTACTCTAGGAAACACAATGGAAAGCAGATGCTGTATCTATAAGTAATATATATTTAGAGTGTGTTTTAGCTAACCAACAAACCTCCATAAACACAAAGCTGAAAACAGCTGAGATCTGGTATTATTCACAGACATATAAGCTCAAAAACTACACACAGAGGGTTGAGCCAGTAGAGAAATTACGAACAGTGATTATTATTAGGATGGGAGTAGTATTTTCCTCCCTAACTCTCCGTGTATGGAAAAATACTAGCATAACAAGCATGCCTTAGAGTGGGACTGCACACTGGTGCCTGCAGGTGGCGAGCAATTCCAGTCAATCCTGCTGATATCACTGTCTCATACCAGTTTGTTTTGCTAAATTATTGCTTTATTAAATATCATGCAGAATTAAAGGTACTGCTGCTTATGTGCTTGTTGCTATTTATTTAATTTGCAGATGAAATTCCTACAGTGGTTGGGATCTTTAGTGCCTTTGGGCTTGTCTTCTCTGTCTCCCTCTTTGCTTGGATCTGCTGCCAACGCAAATCTTCCAAGTCCAATAAGACCCCTCCATACAAGTTTGTCCATGTTTTGAAGGGGGTTGATATTTACCCTGAGAATCTCAACAGCAAGAAGAAGTTTGGAGCAGATGATAAAAGTGAAGCAAAAAACAAATCAGCAACGCCAAAGAATTCTCTCCATCTTGACCTGGAGAAGAGAGATCTAAATGGCAATTTCCCCAAAACAACCACAAAAATGCAGGGCTCTACAGATCTTGAAAATTCATCTCCTAAGCACTTTGCAGAAAGGAAGAAAGATTCGGTATCCCCTGATAGCCTAAAATCCATCACTTCTCTGTCATCTGAAGATAAACAAGACAAGCTAGGAACTCTCTTTTTCTCCTTAGAGTACAACTTTGAGAAAAAAGCATTTGTAGTGAACATCAAAGAAGCTCGTGGGCTGCCAGCAATGGATGAACAGTCAATGACTTCTGATCCCTACATCAAAATGACAATCCTGCCTGAGAAAAAGCACAAGGTGAAAACTAGAGTGCTGAGAAAAACCTTGGATCCAGCTTTCGATGAGACTTTCACATTTTATGGGATCCCCTACAGCCAAATTCAGGACTTAACACTTCACTTCATGGTCTTGAGCTTCGACAGATTTTCCAGAGATGATGTCATTGGAGAAGTCCTCATCCCCCTCGCTGGAACTGAACTCTCAGAAGGAAGGCTGCTAATGGACAGAGAGATCATCAAAAGAAATGTTAGGGTAACAAATTTTTTATTCAAAATTTGAAAATGTGAGAGGGTTAGCTATGATTCTTGTGTAATGCTGCTGCTATCTTGGAAAGAAAAGCCAAAAAGCTCACTATACAATTCCTGAGATACTTTCCTAATGGTGGTGTGAGGAGGCCATTACACAAATACAATTAAAAAAAAATTTACAACAAACATGTTTAAAGAAATTGCTAATGCTCTAAGCTCTAATTTCTTATTCATCTGGTCCAGCAGGCTTGAGTAGACCAATTCCAGTTAGCTCAAACATATTCAATCCCCACTGACTTGCTTTTGATGGCTTTTAAATGAAAGAATAAAAATGTTTATTTATTATTCCCTTTCTCCTCCGTCCCCTTTTATATTTGACATCATTCTTTCTTAAATCTTACTGAAGTCAATGGAAATATCAACCGCATGGGGTGTGTAGCACATTTTTAAGGAATGTAGGTTGTCTTTAGTTAGGGAACTGCGACCTGCTAGAGACCATATTGTTGATGTTGTAGCATGTTCTTACATGTTGGTGCTGTCACCACCTTGTCTCTCATGAATTGTGATACAGGCTGCAGCTTTACTAAAGGTAGCCACAGACTTGCTGGAGTTACCAACAAAACTTCCTGACTTTACTGGGACAAAAATATTTAATGTTGTGCTGTCTCAGCTCAGAATGTAAGGGTCAATTTCAACCACCCCAGCTGAACCTTGGAAATGCACAGGCGTCACACACACATCTCTTAAATCTCTGCTAAGGAAGTGGAATGTGTATTGACTTTCCACATGATTGGTTTCAAATGGCAAGTATACTGCCAAATAAAATAAATGTCTACTAGGCAACATACGTATAGCTAATACTGTTATTTTGCAATTCTATCGCTATATGGCAACAAATATAAGTATGTCACCAATCTTTTGTTGATAACTTATTGGATTTTCTGGTGTATAAGGTAATATCTTCTCTTGTCTTCCTTGCCTTCCCTCTCCCTTTGAAATAAACTACTCCTGCAAATTCAAATCAAATAATGATAGAGAAAATCTTTGATCTCACCTTTATTTCATGTATATTATATTGCGTTAGAGAGTATCAAGGAATAAGATTTCACTGACAGTTTGAATCCTTCCTGTTTAAAATTCTTTACCAAATATTTTTTCTTTATTTGTACTAGACTTTTCTCTCCATTATATCTTCATGGAATTTTGCTTTGCTTAATATAAGTTTCTTTTTTAATTGAGATTTTTTTTCCCTCAGAATTTTACTTCTACTCCCCAAAGATAGTGACGTCATGTCAACTTATATTGCCCATTTATTTTTTAATTGTATTCAATTTGATAACCAATCACAGGAAAAGTTATATAATTAATACAGAAGGAAATTATAATCACTATGTTAATCAGAATAGCTATATATGGTGTGTCCCTTTACACAGCTTCAGAGCATACATTTCTGTGACATTTCATAAACATCTTTAACTCTGGTTTAAAAATTGGTCAATATAAATAGTTATGTTCCTTTTTGTTTGTGTTTTTCCTTTAATTTCCTCAGAAATCATCTGGTCGTGGAGAATTACTGGTCTCTCTCTGTTATCAATCTACAACAAACACACTCACTGTCGTTGTTCTAAAAGCCAGGCATCTACCTAAATCTGATGTGTCAGGATTATCAGGTAATGGTTTTAATAATGAATATGTCCTAAGAATTTTAAACAGAATGGCAAAAGACAGCTGAAATATGGTATCTCGGAGACTAAAAATATTCCATACATGAAGAAATGGTGTTTCTATTGTTGACAGCATATTCATTTGATTAATATCTCAGTCAATGCTTTATTTCCAGGGTGTGTACTTTACAAATTTGTTCTTCAATCACATCAAAAAAGGTGACATCTGTTAGCAGTGAAAACCAATGAATTTTATGATTGTCTTGAACAGAACCCATCTGCCATAAGCGTGGGATGTTGTTTGCAGATACCAAAAGCTTTTATTTATGACAAAAAAATGAGTTTATTTGTAGAAGCTCAGTATTGAGTGAGATCATCATATAATTTATCTCAGAAGAAAAGCAGCCTCTTACCTCTGTGTTGAATTTGGCCCACTGAGCATGAATGTTTTTTTGGCAAGGTGAAAAGGTGAGCTGTGCCAGTGCTGGGAGGAGGCTGCAGTATGACACACATGATTTATTGTGGGCCAAACTTGGGGTGCACTAAGAGGGATCAGGTTTTATGCTCTCTTCTCCTTGTCTGCTGCCATTTTTCACTCAGTGAAACCTCCTCTGAAGCCAATTCTAGAATTGCACATAGAAAACACATTAAGGCTATATAACATAATAACATTATAAAGTTTAATGTCCTGTATATAAGACTGCCACACAAAAACAACAGTACACAAAAAGGAGCTGTACTACCACATCTGCTGCTGCTTCTTTATAGAACTTATAGTCTTTCACTCAATATTATGAAAGCAGAAGAGGAAGTAGTTTTGGGAAACACTGAATAACTATCACTGCAGCAAATTTCTCATACTGCAATTTACCTGAAAAGTTAGCCTATCCTGAACCCAATTCAACAAACCTATAAGTAAATCTCATCAAATTCCATTTAAATCTTCCTTTTGATCTAAATTTTGTTCACATATCAAAAGAAGTTATGTATATGGAGCCCAACAATTTACTTGACTAAAATAGAGGATATGTACTTTTAAAAATCACCCCTAAAAAAAAAGTCATATAGTGGTGTCTTCACGAAGACAGCATGACAACCAGCTGATCTCAATAGACCTGCCTGATGTTTACCTAGATGGGAAAACAACTTGCTAAAAAGCCCTTCTAGTCACAGCATCCACCTGGACCCTATGGAACATCTATTGTTTACTACAGCTCTTACAAGTAAAGCTGTAAAATTTGTTGGCATCTCCTGCTTCTCCTAGGAGAGCCTTGCTGACTATAATGGGAATTTCTGCAAGCAGCGATGTTGCACCTGGACTCCTACTCCATTTAAACCGTTTTCCATTATTTTCTATTTGTCAATAAGGCCAAGTGCTATAGATATTTGGGTGTCAGTAGCATACTGCACTCAGGACAGTCAAAATTTCTTCTGTGTCTTTCCCCTCATCCCAACATTAATCTTGGAAAAGGAGGGTGAAGTGCTGTTTCTATGGGATAAAATAAGCAATTCCACAATTCAACCTTCCTGTGAAGAGGGAAATTTTTTTATACTCAGAAACTCTTCAATTTTCACATTCTCCTTGATTTCCATGGTCACTGGGGCTGAGTAACCTTTATTAGCCCAATAAAATCAAGTGGAAGTCTCTAGACTTATCCAGTAGCTGGTCAAAGGTGAAAGAAAACTTTCTCTAAAAGAAAATGGAAACCAGTATGAATCTACTGACTGATACTGATTTTTCTGTTTCTAATGCTTGTATGACAGATAATAATTTCAAAGTCAGTGAGTGTTTTTATTAAGCCCTGATTTTGAAATGTTCATTATGGTAATGGAATATGAAAGTGAAGAGGTATTCCATTACAACCCACTTCTGGTAGACTATTGTCAGTTCAAGGAAAAACTTAACTTTTACTTATCCAACTCTTTCAGCCTAATAACTGTGACGTAAAATGTGTAAATACTGTTCAGCTTTAGTATTACTTCTTTTAGAAAAGTGTTCAGGAGTTCTTGATTATTAACTTGGTTAATTATTTACATTAACTATCATGTTTGACTGGGTTCAGTAGAGAAGATTTTGTACTTCATTACTGCACCATGAGAACCTGGAAACAGGCCCACAATTTCACTGAATAAATGCCAAAGTACTTGAAAGGCCTGACTTTTAAAATAACTCCTCTGAAAGAATAAATATGGCCATTATTGAAGACAATAGCAAAGGAACCTCACAACAATTAAATAATTATGTTGAATGCAAATACTCAAAGTTGGTTGGCAGCTGAAAATATGGACATATATGGACATTTTCCTTTTCCATATTCAACAGTAGTACAGCACAAGTGTAAAGACAGATACACATTCCAACAGCAAACATACACTTACATTTAAAGTTTAGTGTCAAATCTGTTCAATAACAATTGGTGGCCTCAATTTAGTCAGGTAAATTGATTTCTATAGGACCCCAGCAGAAATATTATATCCATTGTCTCAGCCCAACTTTATTCACTCCTTTCTGAAGATTTTCTTTTCATGTGTTGGAGTAGTGCTGATGATTATACCCAAGTAGAATGTGTGGAAAAAATATTTCTATCACACATAAATGTGTAACAATACATATTTTTCAGAGACCATTAGCATTTTGTACACTTTCATACCATCTTTGAACATTGTAAAGGTGTTGTTGGTTTCATGGACTGCAAGACAGGATTTATCTCATTAAGGAAATATCTGCATTTGGTTGCAGTCTAAACTTCACTACCTGCCTTGAACACAATTTTGGTCACAATTTTGTGACCATAAAGGGAGATTAAAGGGGCTAATTCAGATGTAAAGAAAAAAAAAATTAAAATTGGATGAGAGGAGTCATCTTGATCAACTTGATACAACTACCCATTGTGATGCAATTATCTTGGATAATTGTGGAATTTACCATAAATTACATCAAGGAATTTCTAAACACTGTTCAATAGCTGATCTGTGCTCTTTTTTTTCATTGCAGACCCTTATGTCAAAGTGAACCTGTACCATGCCAAGAAGAGAATTTCTAAAAAGAAAACTCATGTGAAGAAGTGCACCCCCAATGCAGTGTTCAATGAATTGTTTGTCTTTGACATTCCTTGTGAAGGCCTTGATGATATCAGCATTGAATTTCTGGTTTTAGATTCAGATAGGGGGTCAAGGAACGAGGTCATTGGCCGACTAACCTTGGGATCTTCAGCAGAAGGAACAGGTGGAGAGCACTGGAAAGAAATTTGTGAATATCCTAGGAGACAAATTGCCAAATGGCATATGTTATGTGATGGTTAGCAGGTTAGAGAGGGGATGGATCTTAAAAAACTATATATATTTCCATAGGCAAGGAGCATTTTTTTTTCTTTGTTATGTATAATTACAAGCTTTTAACAACAATTTTTTTTTTTTCAGAGGGGGCGGGGGTTTGAAAGAAACTTTAACTGAATTATTAGAACAGAAGGTAACTTAATTTTCACAGTAAATAATGGAATTTCTATTTCATTAAACTTTAACATGATCAGTTTAGATTAATATTCTTCTAGAGTTTAAGGCGGTGTGTAAATTCTGAAGCACTGTAAACTTCAAGAAGAACAAACTATGTTTTGAAAAAGTAACTTATTAGTGACTCATATTTGAATATAATCTTACTACAATATATCCAGAAAAAAAAAACCACCTGTGGCTTATTAAGGAAGGGGATGGATCTATAAAAGCCATGGGGACTGAGAGTGAGTGGTGGGGGGAAATTTCTTCTGCCCCTCCACCAAAAACCTTCTTTTATGAAAATTTAATTATTATTTGTAAGTTTTGGTTACTTATACTTTGATCATCCCAAAGAATTAGCATGTTTTCTGTATTTTGCTTTACATATCACATTATGTAAAACTATTTTTTTTACATGTTGAAATATTGTATAATTAATTACACTTGGACTTTTTTAGTGAGTTTATATATATAATTTATTTTATTACAGTGACCAAAATAGATACATACTTCAAACTAATGATAAGTTAGCATACATATTTTTTGTTAAAAGGGCTCCTTTACGGGTGACTGTACACATTACAGTATAGCTAAAATTTGGAGTTAGATATGGAATAATTTTTTTTGAGATGAGGTAACATACAGGATATTACAATCAATTACTTTTCACCAATTATATTTTAATGTTTCACTAATACAAAAAAAAAAAAAAAAAAAAGGTGTTTTTTTTTTTTTTTATTTCAATAAAGAATAAACAAATAGTGAGACAAAGAAGAAAACCTTATTCTGCTGTTTAACTTTCTGTGTTTAATCTCCTGGACTGTAACAAAAGCCATTACAGTCAGTTCCAACATACAAACTCCAGTGCATTTTTCAAATTTTGCAGGAGAGGAAATCAAATTCACTTTATAATTTCTTCAATATTCTATAGCCAAAGTACTTGGAAAGTGCTTTGATTATATGAATTAATGTACATTACTGACTGTATTGGAAATGGTGGTGGTAAGGAAAAAGAACAACCTGATTTCATGTCAGTGTGACACATCTATTTAAAATTAAATTGTGTCAGGCTGAGGAAATATCAAGTGTAACAATAACAAGTGTACAAATAAAGTATTTAGACCTGTGAAGTTTAGTCTTGGTCACACCAGATAGGTTTTTAGGCTCTCAGAACTATAGCACAACTATAAGCAGATTATTTCCTAAAGTTTGTGCACTAACTTCTGATACAGAATTATTTGCAAGTATTAGTCCTACTTCATTTTCAAATACAATATATATAAAGAAGATAGTGATGTTTGTTGTTGACATAAGAAGGGTTAAAAAAGTGGAAAACCATTTTTAGTATTTTTGCATATGTTATTTGTCACGTGTGATCCCATTGGAGTGAACAAGACTACTTGGGAATTAAGGCACAGCTCATTGTGAGTAAAGGTAGCAAAATGGGCATGCCAGGTTAGAACAAACCAAACATACATTGAATGTCAATCTACTTTCATTAAACAGACCGAGGTCCTACTTAAAACTGTTGGGGATTTGTTGTCTACTTTACCTGTTCTCATATGGCCAAATTATGTTTGCAGGAAAGGACACTGAAATATGAAATATGCAAGTAGACAAATAGTACTGGAAGAATTCCATTGAGGCTCTTCCAGGTTTTGTGTCAGTATTTTCTCCAGTTTTTGAGAATGTGTTTGATACAACAGTGTTTATAGATTTCTGTAAAAATACATTTTCAAAATAACATAAACATGCTTTTTATGATAATGCTAAATGTAAAAATATTGCGTATTGTATGTATAAAGGAGAGGAATCTTTTTTTTTATTATTTCTTTAGAAAGCTGATTAACTGCTTAAGGGCTAGAGTTTACCAGCCACATTCAAGCAGAGCTAATCCTAAACCACCAAATGAAAGATGCCCACAGGCTTTAGTGGGGTTTGAAGTGCAATCAGGGAGCAAAATTCTCCTTAGTCAAACCAGAAATGTCACTGGGACAATGGATATGGAAACATTGTTTCATCCAGTGGAGACTGGGAGAGTTTAGGTCAGTATGACACAATCAGATCTGTTACAATTTCTAAAGATTAAAGAACTGAGCTGGAAATCTGGAAATGATTGTATCAAAGATGCAATCATGGGGCATCTTGCAAATAAAAGAGATGGAGATTTCTGTACGCTGGCCCATAAGTAGTTCCTTATCTTTAAAAATCAGATGACAAGCATCATTTGTCTCCAATGAACACAAACCACGACATTAGGGGATAACAATTTATCTTTTTTAATTAATGCTGGGCTGTGACGATCATCTTTCATTTTGCATCCAACAAGTCATCACCAATTTTTTTAAATTTTTTTTTTTAGTTTTTATAGCAGCTTAAGGGTCAATATTTCTGCCAGGTAAATGGCAATTTTTGTTTGGGGTAGGGGAGTTGGAATAGGAAAGGGAAGCCAAGACATTTTTATTAAGTCTAAAAAAACCCTGTAAATAGATTTTTTTTCATTTAAAGCAATTCTCAGTTTGAAAAGTGAGTAAAGACGACTTGTAACGCATTTTAAACCAGAAAGGGGCAGGAGAGCGAATGTAGGCCTGTACTAAGGTGAGAAATTCTGCTGTTTTATAAAGTATTCAATTCTCATTGTGAATATCTTGAACTCTGTTAAGGATACTGTACTGTATTAAACATGTAAAAAAAATGATGTTTGTCTAAGTAGCTTACAAAAATAATAACTCCTTGAATGAGAGACTATCCATGTCTGGAGATCTGTCGTAATTAAATACCTGATTTGTTTCTGCTGTTGTAACTTAATAGAAGCTATTCAAGAGGAAGCATGGTGTATGAGACTTTGTAAGTTATTTGTGCTGGTTCTGTATGTTGTGCCATGTGTGTAAGACAAGAATAAACTGCTGCTTTTGTTCATTACATCCCACCTATAATCCCACCTATGTATCTTTTTTTCCCCCCAAAGATTCCTGCTGTTGTTTGCATTCATGGTCTACTCTCATTCTTCTATCAGAAAACATTTGACTTGCAGTCTTCCTCTTCTCACAGAGATGGATTAGTCTTGTTCTGACAAATACTACCCAGGCACATCACATGTTCTTTATTCCCAGCTGCTTGCAGAATATGAGTCCTGAATTATACTCTGCACTCAAGCTAGAGCCAGGAACATGGCCCATGACAGAAGATATGAGCCTTATAGGGACAGATATACAGACGCAAACAAGAATAAATTCTAATATATTAGGCAGAAGGAGCAAGATTTAAGTAAAATTATCCCACTGTCATTCTAGTTGTTATTTACCCTGGCCAATCATACTGTGACACTTTTTCATATACAAGAAAGTTGTGTCAGGCTCCAGCTTGTCAGGTGAGTTTGGAAGTTGAGGTAGAGAAAACAGTCATTCAAGTGCTAGACCCAAATACAAACTTTGCTGTTGTGCTCACTAAGATTACTGGAGTATTTATTGGCACAGAGATAGAAGTCATGCTGGGAAAGGAGAAGAGAGCTGCAGCTGGGATACATAATGCCCTTTAATGACTCCTACTGTGAACTCCAACACCTGGAAGGGTTCCCTAATCCTTGTAGTAGAAATCAGTGGAAGGATTCACTAGCCAGATGTATAAAATACAACATCTTCCACAGTTATAAGCTGGTATATCCTCTCTAACAAATTTCCTGTCCCCAGGAGACAGGTATCAAGTATAAGACTGCTCTACTCCATCCCATGAACACACTTCTTTTCTCTGCCTTGCCTTGTACGGTTCTCCTAAAACAATGGTGATTCACATGGTTCGCATTCCAGGCCCGCTTCTTCAGGATGGAGATCAAGAATGTCTTTATGTTTTGATCAAGAATATCTTTGTGTTTTCCAAATACAATGCAAGTGAGCCTCGGGGTGGAGTCTCAAAGCTAATGTTCTGATTGCTATTTGTACCTCAAGTTGCTGCAACAGACCACTGAGAGAGCCCTTGCAGATATCCTCTTTACAGGATAAATCCTCAAGATCTAGCACTATTCTGTAAGTTCATTGTATTTTATGGCATCATGGATAGAAACATACTTAACACATGGTAAATTTACATAAACACAGATGGCCATACACAACACTTTTTTTATTCCTAAAACAAGATTCAAATATGGTCTATGTAAGCTGCTATACTTCATGGTGTCTCATGGAGGTGCTGAACAACTCACTGCATTCTTGCAGCTGCTATAACTGGCACTGACACTTATTTGCTTTGCTGATGGTGACTCCTGAGAAATTATCTCGATTCAAAAAGTTCTACCCAGTTCTCACAGGCTTTTTCCATATTTTTAACCCTCCACCTTTGGGCTGAGAGCAGCACTGTAGTACTGGTTACAGTTGCAGCATAGAAGAACTTTATAGTTAGGTAGACTCAAAGGACCAAAGTCAGTAAGAAGGGAAATGAAAGAAGTTAAATGCTTTACTATGTTTTTGCTATGCCTCCATTGTTATGCCATTTTTGCCACTGAGTTCTTCCTTACACGACCAAAGAACATCCTGCAGTCACAAGTGTGAATGCTCTGGTTTCACCACCACCAGCAACAAAATCTGGTGTTATCCTGAAAAATCTGTCGACTTCTGCTTCAGTCTCAGCTGCAGCACATAGGCCCTCACACCTCTCACCCTACCCCCAGTGCTCTGCAGTCACCCTTGACATGCTCTGAATAAACCCTGGCAGCACTTTTCATACCCAGCTGGAAGTGCTGTAATACTCCAAGGGCTGGAAAAGCTTTGGCAACAACCTGGGTCCTGGTCTCATTGCAAGGACCAGACTTCCTAAGATATCATCAGGGCAGATTGGCAGATTGGACATCCCTCCCCATGAGGATGGTGTCTCCAGTATCTCCCTCTCTCCTTTTCTTCTCTGTGAACACATACACCGTGTTCCTCCAGGGTGAGGCTGACTCCTTTGTCCCATCCCTGGACACTGAAAATCTCACCAGTTTCTGTCATGTGGCAGTGCCCACCCTCACTATTCACTCCTCCTGAAGCTGCAGCAGCCCCAGCCATAACTCCCACATATTTTAGAGTTTCCGTAATTGTGTAACTGCTTCTTCTTAAAAAAGCAGCATGTCATTCACCCTGCAGATCCTGTGGGATTTCTTGCTGTGAATCTTTCTGACAGCAACATGCTCTTAGGTCAGTAAAGAACAGGTTGGGTCTCACTGGAAAATGCTCAACCTCCTCTCATCCTGACAAAGGAAATTTCACTCATTACTGAATCTTTTTCTTCTCTTTGGACAGTCTCTCAAGAAGGTTTTTATAGGTGACTGAGCTGTAAGAAGATGTGGTTTTGCATTTTTGTAAGTGGATGTTGCAGCTTTGAATTGGGTTTAAATGAAACATGGAGGACTGTCAGGTCCCAGTGGTTGACAAATGAATGCTGTGCTACTGAAAGCAGCTTCACTGGGGCTGAGCACACACACAGAGCTGAGGTAGCAGTCATGTGCAGGAGTTCTGAGTCATAGCATTTTGCATTGTGACTTAAAGTAGAACAGATTGTTTGCAATATAGGTTAATGTTGCAGAAAGGTCCCCATCTTTCTTCATCGTAAAAAATACTGTGTTATGAAAGGCTCTGGTTCTAAAAAAAAAAAAAAAAGAAAAAAACAACACAAAAACAACCAATCAACCAAAAAATACCAAGAAAAAGAAACACAAAATCCAAGATGCAAAATTAAATATGCACAATGAAACACAATAAGACTGTTTTCTTTAGAAATTGCAGATGAAAGAGTATCATTGTAAACCAGTATCATAGCTGTTACAGTTCTTTTTTTTTTTACCAGCTAAGGGTGCTGTATGGTGACTGTGATATTTAATTTAGTCTTGAAGACAGCCCCAGGGATAACCATGAATTTTCCCTGACAGATGCTGTAAATACTTCACATGGCTCAGAAAACACAACTGTTTTCATGGAAAGAAGTATTTCACAGTATCATTTGCCATATTGATTGCATCTCCATAATATCTTGTCAATGAAATAGCCTTTACGATTGTGTGAATGAAAGTTTCTAGTTGAAGAGGGAAACCTCTGTATGCCTGCATCTGAAGTGCCTCTGTACACTGATTTGTAGGGCAAATAAACAGTATTCTAGCCTCAATTTTCCTTTCAGTATCATGGGATAAAGCTTAACAACATCAAAAGCAGATACTAACTTTATGACTTTGGTTATGAATTATTATTTTTGCTGTTCTCCAAGGTGTAATGTGGATCTGGGGACTGCATTTTCTTGAGATAAATCCTTCAGAGCTGTATGCTGCAGTGGATATATCTGGACAAGAAAGTAGATGTGAATCAAAAAAAGGTATATAACAATAAAGAATTATCCCAAGCTAAAATCAGAAGTTATATTAAACAGCAATAAAAGGTACAGATAAGTAAATCAGTTTGAAATGCAGATGAGTAAAATGTTGCCAGAAAAGAAAAGGAGGTAGAAGTCTGATACTTTTACAGAACAAGCAAAACCAAGGTGCAGTTAGCCCCTGATGCACATTTGTAAGTCCTGTGAGGAATGGCTGAGGGAGCAGGAAAGGGGCTCAGCCTGGAGAAAAGGAGGCTCAGGGAGAATCTTGTGGCTCTGCACAACTCCCTGACAGGAGGTGACAGCCGTGGGGGTTGTCCTCTACTCCCAGGGAACAGGGAGAGGATGAGCAGAAATGACCTCAAACTGTGCCAGGGGAAGTTCAGGTTGGATGTCAGGAGGAGTTTTCTTATAGAAAAAGTGTTAAGCATTGGAAGGGGATGCCCAGGGATGTGGTGGAGTCACCACCCCTTGGAGGTCTTCAAGAACTAACTGGAAGTGACACTCAGTGCTCTGGTCTGAGTGATAAAGTGGGGATCTGTCACAGGTTGGACACACTGGTTTTCCAACCTAAGTGAATCTGTGATTCTGTAATTCTGTGATTTGTGTTGGTTGTTTTTCACCTTATTCACTCAGTGAAAGCAGCATACCCTTATTAAAATAAGGTATTAGCCTGCTTTGATACACACTATGCCCACTGTGTGTGATTGGTGTTGCCCTTCCTTTGAACAAAGTCTGCAAGGGTTGAGTATTGACGGTCTTTATTTATAGAAAATTTGCCTAAGGAACTGTCAAAGTTTCACTGTTAGGAAGTGCTGGGCTAAGGCTGATGCTGTTAGGTCTGGACTAATATAGTGATCAGGAAGCTCTGTTTGTCTCAGGTGTTCCTCTAGTACCCAGGAAAAGCTTTTTGCTTTCACTCTTTGTTAGGAGACTCAAAGAGAGAATTTTTGACCAGGGATATGTTCAGAACAAAAGGTTTGGTTTACTGCTCTGCTCCAGGCTTTTTGGACCACTGCATTATTTTCAACTTTTTTAGTAGCTACTAAACCTACCTTAGCTTGGCTGCCCTTATATGTCATTTTCATAGGTGTGAACTGATCAAGAGCAGCCCTGCCAAGATAGATTTGGGATGCTGGTGGATGAGAGGCTGGACCTCCCCTGGCCATGGCACTCCCATCCCAGAAAATCATATCCCAGCCTGCATCCAGAGCATGGTGGGCAGCACGTCCAGTGAGGTAACTTTGAGTTTCTGCTTTCATGAGACCCCACCTTGAATGCTGCATCCAGCCCTGGGGTTCTCAGCACAAAAAAAGACATTGACCTATTGGATTGAGTCCAGAGAAAAGCCACCAGGATGATCTGTGAGAGCGAGCACCTTTACTATGAGGAAAGGCTGAGAAAAATGGGATTGTTGGCTGGAGGAAAAAAGGATTTGGAGCGACCTAGTTGCAACCTGTCAGTACTTGAAGGGAGCCTAAAGGTAAGTTGGAGAGAGGCTATTTACAGAGTAAATAGACTATTTATATTATGGAGTAATGTGGTGAAAGAACAAGAGGGAATGGTTTTAAACTGAAGCAGAGAAGGTTTAGATAT